AAATATTTACCAGATGTTGAAAGATATAAAATACACAGTAAATTCAGAAACAATCGCTACAGATGTTTTTAGAAAAATGTTATTGTCCTCGCAATTTCAAAACAGYTTCAACAAGTATAAATTGTTGCTTGGATATAAAAGAAAATGTTTTATTTTTTATTTTATTACATTCGTATCGTTAATTATTTCTAGACTATATACCTACTACTATTACTAGAAGAAAAAAACCTATGCAGTTAATTTTAGTGTTGTAAGTTTTTATCGCTATTACAAACGATTTATATACAGTATAATTTTGATACAACATAAACCTTTATTCAATAAAATTTAGACTACCCATAATAATGAATTGTAATACTATTATAATATTATTACAATGCCATTATGCACTTTAATTTAAAACGCACTAAATGCTTTCCGTYGATTACTTAAGACAATTCTTGATAAATATTATTTAGAGATGTTCGAGTATCAACTACTTACAGTTCGATTTCCCAGGTTCTTGACTCTGCAATGTAAGTACGCGGTTCTACCAACTAACCCAGTCACGTTATTCGGCACKGTTTTGTCAAACACTGGGCCTATAATTGGTGGTGGGATATCCTGTAGAAACTCCTGCAAGAACTTTCTAGAAGCAGTAGTATCTGTGAACAAAAACAAAATACGAGTTAATAACAATAAATTATTAATTTTGTTGTTACTATTATAATTAATTATTTATTTTTGTTGAAATAAACGGGGCATTACTAAGTAGTCCTTCGACCATAATTGAAATKAACGGACTGCCAAGTATATTTAAAACAAAACCTTATATAATTTAATAGTCTAGRCAACACAGTTTTACAGTGTAGAGTATAATACTGTATTTTATTATTTTATAAATTCACATCAACGTATATCAATATTTTAGACGAAAAAAATAACTTATTAATCCAGAAACGGTAACTTTAAAAATTTGGGAGTGTAATTGTTTTTTTTGTTTTACCGGACTCAAGGTATTTCTATCTAACGTGAATGTATTTACAAATTATATTATAAGTAAGGAAAGTATATTTTAACGTTACAAAATAATGAAAATCATTTTAATTTGTTAGATTTTTGTTTCTTATACCTGATCTACTTAAGATTATTTTGTAGATCAACAATCTTAGAATTGTGATTTGTGAATATTTTAAACATTATATTATAAAATTTACAAAGTACAAACAAAATATTAGATGGTTAAAATTGTTAAACATTTTGAAAATTCTTTCACTATAAAATTGGATAATTGTTTCTTATAWACAAATATAGCTTAATAAGTTATTAAAACATTTTCTGATATATTATAGGACAAATTAGTCTATTTATTTATCAGAATGAAAATTTTATTTTATTTTAAGTCTTTTGATATATTGATTGATTTTAAAATATTTTATTYGAAATAACAACTGATTATTGATGTATAGAGTTAATCATAATTCATGTAGTATGACGGAACTGTTTTTAGTTTTTAGTTTGTTTTAATATTAGTTTAGAAAAACAATTAAACTGGAAATTGTGATCAGTAAACATGATAAAAATATTGATGCTAT